CAGTCGGACTTTCGCTTGTCGTCACTGCATTCATGTTGAAGAAGCCAAGGGAAGCGTACTATGGATTCTTACAGGACACGTGGGACAATGTGTATGTATTTTTCTGTATTAAGTGGAGGAGCCTTACAAGAGCCTTGAGTGTGTGTGGGTGTTTCTTAATGTTTTTCTTGTACAATAAATGATGCTAATAGAATATGTATTTTACTTCTCTTGGTTTACTTCTAGTTTTGGAAAATATGTAATATTCACATTGCATGTTTTGTGTGTTGAGTGCTCAAGAATTCTAAATAGTATATAAGTTGTGGGGTTGATTTCCTCTGTTTTTTTATTTGCTCCCCATCTCTTTAACTTGTGTTCAAATTAGATTTGCATATAGATAATATATCCAGTAAATTAAAACAGTTAACAGGATAAAATATCTAATTTGGGAAACAGCAAAAATGAAATTGCTGGTAGCACCTATGTGAGGACACTGCTAGTAGGGGTGGCATCGAATCGCCACTCAACCGCCACTTTCTCGCACCGACTCTTGAGATATTCCTGGGAAACTTTGACAGTTGGGACGGAGCTATATGAAAGCTTGGCTCTATATATATATATTTTTTTTTTTCTTCTCGACCTGGATTGAGGATAAGAAGACAAAGATTCTCCAAAAGTGAAGCTACTTTGTAATGTGTCTACTAACCACGAGTCATATTTCGACTGAGGATAAGAAGACGGTTGGGGCTCACCATCAATGTCTTGTCTCTCGATTTTATAGCTGGAAATCACTTCAAATTCCTGCGCAGTGAAAAAGGAATCCGAGCAGTGATCCAACTCATCATTTGGTAAGAATGCAAATACATATTAAATAAAACAGGATAACGAGCCGGAAGAGCCAGTTTGGCACCAAAATTGCAGTCACCCATACTATGAATAGAGTGTCAGTGGAACACTTCAGCCAACATATAAAATAAACTGTGCATGGATACATGAGAGTGTTTATTACGAGTCCTGATCTCACCACCGCCATTGCCATTTCTACCCAAGTGTGGCTACAGAAAGAAAAATCCCATCAAAGTAGGTAATGGCTGCTATACAAGGCATTGTGTGTATATGAATATCCCAAATGACTTCAATTCTGCGTGTCTCGATATTTCATCATATCCCATTGGAGACTTCCAATTCTGCATTGGTTATAGCTCACGAGTCTTCTACCGTTAACATAGCAAACGAACAAAACTCAACACCTCCCTCAGATGAAGGCCTCTCAAAAGAAAACGTCGAAACCCATGGTTGTTGGTTGAGTGTGATGACGAGTCAAATTGAGTCCTCAGAGGCTTGTTTTTGTTTCTTTTGCTTCATAGAAGGAGGCATATCTCCATGAAACCTGTTGCAGAAAATGAAATTGCTATCAAAATGTACTGTGCGACAGGAGTTCTAAGTAAACATTTAAAACCCTAATTAATCTATTCATGTTTTTGTCACCAGGTTGAAAATGTCTCTCCATGTGTTCCTTCAATCTTCGTTGGCCTCAGTTCTTTATTTTAAATAACTGCCTTTTTGTTATATTCTTCTTTGTTTACTCCAACAAAGTCAAACTTAGAAGAAGATTTGAACAATACAAAGGAAAGCTGGTTATCAGTTTCTCAAGCATACTGAAGAAGAATTTGTAGTAAGGAACTGATCTCAGAGTTCATCTTTATTCAAAATGAGGACAAACGTAAATGTAAAATACTATGAGTAGCAACTAGAAATTACAAGGAGACAATTCATAAAGCTTATTATTTGTCTATAAAATTGCATCATGAAACTAAATACTATTAAGACAGTCATCACCTTGTATAATGTCAGCATCGCACAGAATAGAGCACTGAATGTAAAAAATAAAATAAAAATGGCTCACATATCGGTTATTCTTTTCCTCTGATCAGAGCAGAAGTATGGAAACAAATCCTCAACACTCATACTGCCAAAATCATCACCGACATTCTTTTTTAGTAAATTACAGTCAAAAGCAAATGCTGCTGGTTTATCTTTTAGTTGCCCCTTCAAATGTTCCATAAAAACAAAACCTGTAAGGTAAATAGCATGGTAAATAGCAGTTTTATCTAAGGAAAACCTGAAACACAAAATGCAAAGCACAAAATAGAAACAACATTAAAAATCCTATTCAAAAACCAAAAAATACAAATGAATACCCAACCTAAATGAAAGGAAAAACAGTACACATATTCGGACAAAGCATTTGCTCGAGTCACAGACATCATTACAACAACAACAACAACAACATACCCAGTATATTCCCAACTGGTTGGGGTCTGGGGGGTCAGTTGTACACAGACCTTACCATTGTAATTATACAAGGAGGCTGTTTCCGTACCGACCCAAGGAGTCACAGACATCATTGTAAACTATAAAATAATTACCATTATTCTGCTATGCAATCATATTAAAATTATGGTCTGGACAAATATATAATTGTATGATCTGAACATGGTTGAAGAAAGAGTGCTGCAAAAATACATGCTACTAACAATCATTAGTTCATTATACAATAAACATTTGTAGTACTCGTAACCTAGGTATGTTGGTGAAAAAGGTAGCTAACAACATTAACAGATTATTGCATTCAAAACTATAGTGATCTTTACCCATTTCTAAAGTAGAACATAAACTGTAAAATACACCATTTCCTAGAACAAAGGAACCATACCACAAGAGGAAAAGATGAGACGTAGAAGATGTAAAATACATCAATTTCCCTTGATCAAAGGAACCCATAACACAAAAAGAAGAGATTGGGAGTACATTTTAATCTACATAACTTGGTTAAATTACCAACAGGAAAAGGCGAAAAGAAGAAAACAAAAGCCTATTATATTTCCTCATCCAACATACCACCAACTCCAAATGTGAAATCCTTCATATAAATTAGAAGCATTTTCAGCAAATGAGATTAATCAGACACACCTCCAAATCTTTATATCAACAAACTCATGCCCAATAAGATTTCAACTTGAATAACATGCAAGTGATGAACAAAAGGTAAATACAGTACCACGTTGAGAGAACTAATAAAAGAATTTCAAAAAAAAAAAAAAAAAGAAATATCCCACATAAAAATAAATATATTGGGTTATATTAAAAAGACGGGCACGCGAAACCATGGGAGCAACTTACTGAGGGTTCGCAACATTCGCAAGTCGAATTTCTTAGTCAAATCTTCATGACCAATTTTCTGGGCGCGCATTTTCACCATTGTCTTCAAACCAATCAAAAATTCCTAATCAATGAAAACACCATCGATGCAATAAATAAAGCATATACACATCAGAAAAACAACATTTTCGCAACAACTTGTCTTTGCAAATCAATGGATGCTGAGATTCGGAACTTACAATTTCAGACTCGGACAAAGAACACAGCCAGCGAACATCATCTATGTCGTTTGGACCCAGCACAGTTCTTGCATCCATAGCTGAAATCAATATTGAATTTTTATTTTTTTTCTGGTTTATGAAATGGGAAAAAGATTCAAACTTTGATCGTAAACGGAACCAAACAAGAATATCAGTGATATTGTGCGGCAGCATGGGTTTCCTTTGGTATTGGGTTTTGTTTCACGGTCGGGTCAATTAACATGTCACACAGCCCGGTAGCGAATGTATTTTGTTAGTTAATGCAACTAACGTTGATTGTGTTATACATGGGACACTGAATGGATAAATAAACTGAGATTGTGTTATGCATAGGGATTGCAATGGGCCATATCGGGCAGGGTAGTTACGGACCCGGACCTGGCAGGCACACCTACCCCACAGACCCAAATTGGCCATAGGGACTAGCTTGATTTTTCTTATCCTACCATTGAGACATTATCCAGCTCATTATCTGGCAGAATCCATCTCATTTTCTTTTATTTTATTTGAATAATTATATTTTTCAGATATATAACAACGGTAGGAACCATATGCGTAGTTAGAGATTTTTCCTCCTATGAAAAGTATATTTAATATAAAAATAATTAGACCCTAGAATCATTTCTCAGTAAGAAATTCCTAGAAAACCTAATTTCAACTGAAGTTCAGTTTTCCCCCTATTTCAATTGGAGTTCTAATCAAGCTAATTCATAATCTCAAACAAAAAACCAATTACCTCTGGAGTCAGACGATCGATTAATGGTGGTGCGGGGCTGTGGGGTAGTGAGAGCCGAGGAGGAAGCGGCGACAGAGGTGAGGCTGTGGGGTCGTAAAGCGGAAACTTAAGGAGGTTGAAGTGGAGGCGCTGAGACGAGGCGACGCGGGGCGGCGTGAGATGGACGAAGAATGACGGGCGTGAAAAGTGAACTGTGAATGAGAGCTGAGTCGAGACTCCTGAGCGCCGAACAGGATGAAGGAGAAGGGAACTGGAAACTAAACCTAGTCCATATCTATTAATATATAATAAGAATTACCTTAATTCACTTTTGGGCATCTTCTACAGTCACGTCATGGTTGTACCTATCTAACATCAGGTAACCCCCCATTTCACCGTTGGATTGAGTAAGAT